GAAGTCCATCTTCCCTGTTAAAGTTATCAGGATGAAGTTCGATCTCGATGGCTTCCCTGATTAACCGGTCCATGTAGCCGGTTTTTGAGGAGAGGATAGAAGTGTCCTCTAGCTGTATCCTGTGCTCCAAAACCGCTAACTCGGCCCCTTTCAGGGCCTTTATCCATACAACTACACTCACCTTTCTCTCTCTACTTTCTCTCCCTCTCCCACCCTCGCCCACGTGCTACCATTGGTCCACTCCCATACCTGCTCCCATTGGCTTGGGGTAGGCTACCCCTTTCACTTCCCTGCCTATAAAATCCAACTCCTCACACCCTATTGGCATATTCATCGCCCTGATGACGGAGGCAGTATGACCTCTGAAACGTTGGTTAACATCGACCAGACTACACAGCGCAACAACCCAGAAGACAGAAATCTTCAGGTAGAATTATGTTTGAAAATATTGAATAGAAATTGGATTTTACAGTGTTATATTAAATGCAGTGCATGATTTCTTACAGAAAGATATTTGTGTTCCACAAAATATAACTTCACTTTCTATGTATACGGTTGTCAGACTGTATTGACAGTGCACCCTTTCAGTATGAAACAGAAGTTTTAACAAAGAAGAGGTGTGTTAATATCTTCAGAGTTAGAATTAAAATGAAAATGTATTTAAATTTCATAGGTTCTTAAGCCAAGGATGTAGAACATGACATATTAACTAGATTTAAGTTTGAATATAAATACCAATCATACACTAAGTAACTAACTAGTTGGCTTAGGGAACCCGGAAGTTCGTCATCGAATTTACCAAAGCCCTCCATTGGTCCCTGTCTTGAGCACCAATCATACACATTTAACACAAATGTAGATATTTGACTGGTTATAGAGCAGTTTATATACATCTTTCAGGACATTAAATTTTACAGAGCAAGGCAATTATATCAAAGAATTGTCACCTTCACAAATATATACAGTACTTCAGGACTTTCAGTTAAATTATTCTGCTGAACAGAAGGCATTAGCTAGGAGGTAATGTTTTAATACTGGCTGAAATACCTTTATATTGTGATTTATATACTTTTATGAATAACTTGATTCCTGTATATTGTAGTAAATTCCTTTCTGATATTGAGTGAGGTTATCATTTGGAATATGCAGGCAGTATTTATGCCTACATTAGAATGTGTAGGTCAGTAGATGTCAGCTGGAGTCTGTTATAATTTTTCACATGTAATTGCTGGTTTGCAGGATCAACAGTGGACTATCGTGATGGGTTTGTGGGCTGCATTAGAGCACTCTTGCTCAATGGGCAACTTACCAATCTGAGGAGTTATGCTAACAGAGGACTGTATGGTAAGGAGTAAAACATTGCTAAATACATGACTAAAATATGAAATATATATTTGTAGGATTTGAGATTTTCACAGCAGTGAGTCTGAAGATGTATTTGTATGTACCATAATTTATAAAGTGTTCTGTTTAACAAAACAAGCAGAATTCTGGTATGTGAAGGTTTTAATGTATGTTATGGTTTTGTCGATTCTTAGTCAAGAGGAAACTTTCTCCTTTTTTTATACCAGGGTATCATCATATTTATGCTAACTGCCACAGTTCCATTAACTGAATTCAATACCTGATTTGTTCCTGTAGGTCAGACTTTATTCTCCAGTGAACACCAAAAGGGATATTTTCCAAAGCACACTGCATCACATTCTGTGCCAACTTAAAATACATATTTTGAAGAAAATACTTAATTGTAACTTAACAAAAGTGTACCTCAGATACTTTCAGAAAATTTTTTACACTTAAGTGGCATGTGACCTTTATGCTAGGGCTTCTAACATGCTGTATTTCATTATTAATATTTTTACATTTGCTTCTCTTTGGGTTATTCATATCCTTTGTTATTACTGTTCATGTGTGATGAATTGAGAGCATCCCAAGATGTCTGTGAATCACCTGTAGCAAGTTAATTCCCATTTCTTCTTGGAAGGGTACCTTTTCTTTGTTATTATACATGTTATGGTATTGCTGCTGCTCCATGTTGTTTGATAGATTTATTGGAGTGAACTCAGTATGAGAAAATCTTTTATCCGGATATATTTTTTTCTGTTTAGGTGTAAGTCCAGGATGCATTGGCAAATGTGAAAGCAATCCTTGTCTCAACAATGGTACATGCCTTGAAGGCTATGATGGTTTCAAATGTGACTGCCGATGGACTGCATTCAAGGGTCCTATCTGTGCAGATGGTATGTAATAGATAACCTTTCAAGTAGTTGCCCATGTTCAAATTATTTCTTGACAGAAACTGAATGCTGAAATGCTGTGTAAATTTTCTGTATTCCACAGAAATTGGAGTAAACATGCGGCCTGAGTCCATCATCAAATATGATTTCATGGGCAGTTGGAGATCAACCATAGCAGAAAATATTCGAGTTGGGTTCACAACTACCAATCCAAAAGGTTTCCTCCTAGGATTTTCATCAAATATTTCTGGAGAATATCTGACCATCATGATTTCTAACAGCGGTAAGATGTGCTTTTTGTTGTAAGTAATGCTATTTTTAAAGTACAGTGTTTCAGCAGCGTTCATTTATTACTGACGTGTGTTCAGGGAATTATAGAAATTCCACAACCTCCAGGAAACATTGTGTGTGCACCAGTGTAAACATGGACTCTTTGTCACTAATGTTCAGTAATTGTGCCTGTTACAGCATTATGCCAGTTGGCATATTAAGTTTTCTGACTATGTCCACATTATAATGTGTAGAATTGTACTTTTGGACTTTGTCTCTTCCCCTCCCCCTCTCTCAATTAATCAATCTCTATCAATTTTTCATGATGTTGTGGTTTTATGAGCCATAGCACATGCTTATATAGATTTCTAGAGTGGGACTGTGCGTGTCAGTGTAATTTTTCACTTTTTGATCTTTGGTATTAGTTTGGTATATTTGTTCCTTAAATGCAATAACAATTGGTGTGTTTCTTGTTTGGGGGTATATGGTATTTAGGTGCATGTGGTATTTGTTGCTTTCAGTTTTGAATTCTGAAACAGCATGCTGCTGCGTAGGTGGTCGACTGTTTCAGTTGTCAGACGAGTAGCTGGATGGATTTGGTTCCCAGTGTTTCCATCTCAAGTGCTTTGTGTAATACTGTGTACATGGTAAAATGTCTAGTATTATCTGTTTGGAAAACAAATGGAAGAATATTTTTTGTGTTAACTCTACAGCTTAATAAATGTATTGTACACTTTTTTTTCAACTGTGGATAATGATCTGTACAAAAATAAAACACAGAAATTTTCTTCCCATGAATTTTAGTTCATGGAGGATTCACTGTATTTGATAATAGTTCTGTTTTTTGTTACATCCAGGTCACTTGCGAGCGGTGTTTGATTTTGGATTTGAACGCCAAGAATTGATCTACCCTGATAAGCATTTTGGATTAGGTCAGTACCATGATGTCCGCATCACTCGGAAAGATTCTGGTTCCAAACTTGTCATGCAGGTAAGGTGTCACCATTTTTATTTATTTGGCATAAAAATGCCCCTCCCCTTTAATGTGTAGATTGAATTGCGGACGGGCTTTTTTCAGACTCTTCTTGAATTAGTGAGGCAGTTCTAGAATGCAAATGATGATGCCCCCCTAAATATGCATGAGTTATATCACTTTTATCTGTAACAAACCAGTAAACTTTACTTTTTTGCCTTCATCATGAGTTCTCAATCTTCCCAGACCTTGGCCCACACTCACAATATTTGAGAAAATGCTACATTAATTTCTTTATTGACCTGTTATAAATGTCGGTATTTTTATGGTATTTATGTTTTGTCCTATTAATATCTTTTACATGTAAAGTTATTTTGTTTTGATTCTGTTTGGCACTTTTAGTCCATACTGAAGAGAAGATCATATTACCTTCCCATATACGTGCACAATGTTGGTTCTGCCATCATCATCATATATTTTAAACCTGATAACAGTTTCAATTCTTGTTCTTCTCCTTTTCCAGGTTGACAACTATGAACCAAAAGAATTTCAGTTTAATATCAAGGCTTCTGCAGATGCACAGTTCAACAATATCCAGTACATGTACATAGGGCGCAATGAATCCATGACAGAGGGCTTCATCGGTTGCATATCGAGAGTAGAGTTTGATGATATCTACCCCCTTAAGCTGTTGTTCCAAGAAAATGGTCCAGCTAATGTGCGTTCTTTAGGAAAACGTAAGTGACAAGTGTTGCAAATTAACAATAATATTTGACACCATGACCTACAAAAAAAGTTAACTTTTGTGGTATAAATTCAGCAAACTGTTTTGAATAATGTAAGGTAAGAATTCATATTGATTGATCTTAAACAGAATTAATTTTTATTACAACATTTAGTATATTCATTCAAATTCAGTGACTTGTTTTTGGATTTAAACTTGGACATAGGGACTGATTGCAATGAGCCCCTAATGAGGCATTTATTATCTGTATTACATGTAGAAAGTCTCTTAATGGAGAATGTGTGTTAATGCTGTTAAATAAGGTATAATATGTGCAAGTTAAGTACATTATGTATGTCACACACAGTTATATTATACCTGAATTACTGAAGGACAACAAAGTGGTAACTCATGGTTTGCTTACACTTCAAAGAATGGAGTACAGTGAAACCTCTATCCATTGTTCCCGGAACTATCGTTTTCCCGGATGCATCGTCCGTTTTGTTCGGTCCCGAATACATCCCATATAAAATAATGTTACATTTTCCCGCTTCTATCGTTCCTCGAACTATCGTTTTATCGCATCGATCGTTCAAAAATCTTAGTCCCGGCCCACAATTTTCCCGCAATGATCGTTCCTGAGAATTTAAAATGCTGGGTTTAGAGATAAATTAATACCGAAAGACGCACAATGTTTTTGGAATAAACAGTAGCGGTAACCTGTTATGTCGCCCAACCAGCACATTCTTTTGGAATGAGGGTCAGCGGTGCAGGGGTGATAGTTGGAGTGAATGGCGGTGCCCATTGTCAGAAATTTTACGATTTTAATTAGGGTGCACTCATATTTCGTTCCAGCGATGCCAGATGGCATGTGCAGTGTGAATTTCTTCACAAATGCTTTTATTACAAGGACAAAGGAAAGGC